AAGGAACGAATGAGGTGAATAAAGAAGGAAAGAACGAATGAAGTGAATAAGGCAGGAAGGAATGAGGTGAATAAGGAAGGAAGAAAGGAATGATGTAATTAGGGAAGGAAAGAAGGAACGAATGAGGTGAATAAAGAAGGAAAGAACGAATGAAGTGAATAAGGAAGGAAGGAATGAGGTGAATAAGGAAGAAATGAAGTGAAAAAGGAAGAAAGGAAGTGAAAAAGGAAGAAAGGAATCAATGAGGTGAATAAGGAAGAAAGGACGGGAGGGAGGAAGGAAGTTAATAAAGAAGAAAATCCCCCCCAAAAATTATTTTTCATAATTTTCGAGAAAAGAAAACTATCAATACAGTAAATATTGATCAAAAGAAAAAAAGGTGTGTTTTCTTTTTCCACTCCTTGATGTTAAATTCAGGACGTTCAGTATGGCGTGAGCATCAGCACAAAACCATGAGTGTATATTATGCTGCTCGGCCATATTGGGGTCATCTATTTTCATTCCCCATCAGCCTATATAGGCTAAATGGGCGCATTTTACACCACATGTGCACACTGAAAGTCCCACGTGCTCAAATCAGTCACCAGGAGCGCAGCTGAGCGTGTGAAGCTGAGACCACATCCGTGTGAAAAACTCAGCAAAGACTGAACGGTTAGTGCTTGGTTAGTGTACAAAGGTCAAACCATCCCCCACATTGATTCAAAACTTTGTTCTTTTTTTTTGAGAGAAATAGGTTTACTTTTCTAAACCTAGTTTAGTGCAGATTTGAGCAGGTAAACCTGCTGTTTGCTGCTTTGGTTTCTAAGAATCATCCGATCAGACGATAGTGCTGCGCTAGTTTCCAAAAATAAAGTTATTGCATAACATCACCTATCATTTCTGCGCTGGCATTGTGGTAATGTTTACATTATTTAGTGGCTGGAATGACTGCTTCACAATATTTAGGAGTTCATTAGCCTCCTAGCACCTTCAGTTTGGCTTAAGGATGTCCTGTTACAACTTTTTCATTTCCGATATGATACCGATATTCCAGCTATGTCAATACTGATATTTACCCGATACGATATTAGCATGAATCCTACCAGCTTTAATTACCTGCAAGGGGCTTCCCATAGAGCCTCTCCATGTTGAAAGGGGGCAGTTGAGGTGACTCGGGCATCTGATTAGGATGCCTCCTGGACGTCTCCCTGGTGAGGTGTTCTGGGCATGTCCCACAGGGAGGAGCCCCTGGAAGGGACCCAGAACACGCTGGAGAGACTGTTTCTTGACCTGCCTGGGAGCGCCTTGGGATTTCCCCGGAGGAGCTGGCCCCAAGTGACTGGGGAGAGGGACATCTGGGCCTCCCTACTGAAGCTACTAAACCCGTGACCCTACCCCAGATAAGTGGAAGAAGATGGATGGATGCATGGGCTTCCCATAGCAATAGAGCAATGACACTTGGCAAAGACAGTCTTTTTCCACAAGACTCGCCCAGAGTTACGCATTTGTTTTTGTAGAATGCCCCAGGTTGGTCCTCAAACCACGACGTGACTTCAGAAATCAAGGCCGCGTCATCTGGTAAGCACTTTCCTTTCAGAAACAACTTCACGGCTGGGGAGAGGTGAAAGTCAGAGGGTGCAAGGTCAAGAGAGAAGGGGGGATAGGGGAGGAGTTAATAGCCGCACGCCTGTGCCTCTGATATGAGAACATGCAAGTTGTGGACCGCAGAGTTGTCCTGCAAGAGGAGGATGCCTTTGCTGATCTTGATTTTGATAGCTTCTTTTAATTTCCTCAAAAGTGAAGCATAATAGGCTCCTGTCACTGTGGTAGTCTTAGCCAGGAAACCTGTCATCACTCCTCCGTCCTGGTCCTGGAAGACTGTGAGCATGACCTTGCCAGCGGAGGGCTGCACCCTTCCCTTCTTCGGAGGAAGAGAGTCAAGGTGCTTTCACTGCACTGACTGGCCTTTGGTCTCTGGATTAAAGGGATAGCAATGGACCCAGCTTTCAAACTGTGCAATCAGTCGTTGACTCATCTTTTCGGCACGTCTCCAAATTCATCCGCGAGCACTCAACGTGTTCTTGCTTCGGGAAAGGTGTGAGCATCCTGGGAGTCCATCTGGCAGACACTTTTTGGAAATGCAAATGGTAATTAATGACAGTTTCCACAGACCCGGTACTAATCTTGACCTCATGAGCTATTTGGCAAACAGTTATCCGTTTATCCAGCAAAATGGCAGTCTCAACCTGACGGACAGATGACTCATCAATGGTAGAAGGGGGACGACCGGATCTGGGGGCTGTTTTCACAGACTTCTGACCGTGTTTGAATTCACGATGCCAGCCTTTTACAAAGTCATATGAGGGGGCATCATCACCATAAGTGACTTTCATTTCAACAAAAATCTCCTGTGCCATGCGTCCTTTTAAATACAAAAAACGAATCACTGCTCGACACTCGACAGGCTCCGTTTCACACCTGACAGTTCAGACACCTGTAAATCAGAAACAACAATTAGTTCAGAGCTGTAATTTCCCACTAAAAGCCAAATTATACTTCTGCAAGTGCACACATCAAATGTCACTTCGGTCTGATCGGGAACCAGTTTTGCTGGTATGCTGCTGCACCGTCGCTCTGGAATTTCTAGGGACGCAGAGCAGTTTCATGCCAAAGAGCAAGGGGGAGCCTATTCGAGAACTCGACGGCACCAGTACGAGTGTTTATTTTCCAAAAACAACAATGGCGAGTCTACAAGATATCACGGTCACAGTGATGGATCTAGAGTTGCTAGACATCAAAGAAGAACAGGTTCTGTTAATGGAGTTGGCAAAGAGACCGATTAACCTTTCGTCGTAGATGTCCATTGTAGTTGTTCCTCGGTTTTTAAAAATGGTGCGCCTCGGCACCGAATCGAGAAGGACGACTACACAGACAGCCGGAAGGGCATACAAAGGACCAATCACAGCTGCTTTTTGTCTGCGCACTTCCGCTTGAGGCCTGCGAGGGTTTGCGACCGTCGGACGCATAGTCAGGATTTTTTTTTTAAGTGCGCAACAACGGTTGCAACCTCTGCACGGGGGAGCGTGGTCGCGCACAAAGACAGATTTGTCGGTTGCAGAGGCTATGCGTCAGAAGCATAAATTGGCCTTTAATCTATACAGATATAAATAATTGCACATGCAAAATTTCATCTAGATCAAACAACTGGAAGTGGGTCAGGGGCATTAGTTACTGAACGCCTCTTGTATTTTAAATTGTAGAATGACAGAAAAGGCTTGATCAAGTAATATTACTGAAACAGGGAACAAAGGTCAAAAGCAAGAGTATGGCTTTTTAATGTATAAGTTTATTTGTAGGTTAAATGCATCTGGAAACAATATTATCTTGTCACTTACTGATACCACACGTAGTGCAATCCGATATAAGTCTAAGCTGTGGAGACACTGGTATTCCTGTCTTCTTAAAGTTCCTATTTAGTCGACAATGGTACTTGTATTGTGCTTTTTATCATTAACTATTTATATCTTATTTTATGTATGTTTTATTGGATCATGAGTCCGGAATAAAGTTTTATCTATCTATGAAAACAACCGACCTGTGAAAAATTAACCAAACAGTTACAGAAACTTTTAATCAGCATGAAAATATCAGAGGTTTTAGATGCACGTCGATATCCGATATTAATATCAAATATCAGGGCATCCCTAGTTTGGATTTTCGGTTTCTCATGGCAACCCCATAAAATTTCCTTACAAAATCCAACAACCAGCACTTTACAATAAAAGCACAGGTGCAACATAACATTACACTGGAAAAAATCTAAATCTAGATAAGTCACTTTTCTTAAAATACATGCATTTGTTCTTGGATTGAGGAGGTAAAAGACATTTTGCTAATGAAACGAGACAATTTATACTTAAAATAAGAAAACAATTGCATAATTTCAAGTGCATATTATTTAATTATCTTATTTTAAGAGTAATAATGCTAATTTTATTGGAAAACTATCCTGTTTACCTACTCAAATTAAGGGTAGATACACTTATTTCTAGATTATTTTTCCAATGTATAGACTGTTGCTCCACTTTTTAATCAGCTGGGAGAGCACATCCGCTTTTTTGAAAAGCCCCAAAAGGACTGAAAATCTTGAAAAATCTTAGAAAGTTCAGGAAAAGCAATTCGTTTCCTTTCATGTTGAGAGTTATCAGGGAGTTAATTTTTGATAGTCTAGGAGCTCTGCTCCCAAATCTTCCACCTCATGTTTTACATGTTTTTCCTGAAATTGTGTTTTGAAGAATCAGCTGCAACATCAATGTGAGCAAACTAATGATTAACTGATAACACAACTTGACAATCAACACCAACCTTTTCTCTTTTCTATTCTTTTTTCTTTTCTTTTTTCTTATCAGGCAGGTGGAGTCAGCAGGTATGATGCATTCAATGACCGAAGGACATTTCAATAAAGTAGTTTTTTTTTTTTTTCAGATTACAGCTTCAGATTATGGAAACTGCTAAAATTTAACCTGACCTTTCATCCTCAAACTGCTCTAGATTCTATCAAAAAAAAAAAAAAGAAAGAAAGACAGAAATCAAAACCTGGGCCAGATTATCCAGCACTAACAAGACAATATTTCACTTTATAAGTTTATTTGATTTGTTAAATTCTACAAGAGCCTATTAGGCAATGGTAATCAGAAATAAAATACAGAATACAGAAAAAACAGATGTGAGCTGAATCAGAAGGTAGATGTTACAGAAACTCGATCAGTTCATGTGGTTCTATGCTGCCATCTGATGGCTAAAGGGTGAAACTACAAGCTGTCTGACCTGAACTTTTCTTTAAAATCGAACCAATTAGGTCAGTTTATTGATAATTGAACTGGTTTTGTGGAAGCTCTGGGGTGATGCTACGGTGTGGAGGTAGAGCCAATGACCCAAATACCTTTATTTGCAGGTTCGAGTCCGGGTCCTGCTGAACTTTCTCCTCTCTCTTGTAACCCGCTTTCCTGTCTACATTCTTTCAAAAATATAACTAAATAAAGGCCACTAGAGCCTAAAAATAATCTTTAAAAGATCATAAAGTGGGAAGGAAATAATTATAAAAAAGGAAACCACGTCTTTAACATCTGTTTTTCTTTGGTTTTTACAGATTTTCTGTTTCCAAATTTCAAAAAAAGAAAATTAAAGACAATCCACAGGACTTTGTTTCCAAACTGGTATGGGACATTGCACACAAGAAGCCAAACGGCCCCCATTCCAAAGAGGTGGACAACTCCGTCCGTTTCAATTTGCATGTTTTCAAAACAAAAACAAGGCGTTCTTGGGCTGCCGTACACAACCTCGAACTCAACGTTATTCCTGACATTTTTTTAATGAAAAAGCTTCCTGGATGGGAAGCGAAACGTCTTCAAACTTGGAAACAAAGTCCACTGGATTGTTTTTAATTTTCTTTTTTTTGGAACGACTATGACCTGAATGACTGAGAACCTTCACCAACATTTTCAAATTCCGTTTTTAGTTGATTTATTCAAACAAGCTTACATTTTAGGGATGCACGATATTGGGATTTTGGCCGATATCCGATATTTTAGAACTCATGTAGCCGATAACCGATATCGAT